ATTTCTTCCACTTGTCCACAGAAATACCTGTCCCAGCTTGCAGAGGAGAGTCTGTCGGGGGTTCTTGCTGAAACCTCGGCTGCACAGTGACATCCGCTTGACTTCTCACGTCTTGTACAGCGAACAGCAGAGGAAAGATTCGTGTATGTGTGTGTGTGCTGTCGGTGCCAGGTTATGGACAACTACGAAAGTGACACGTGAAAGTTAGACTATGAGGACAATTGCACTGGTTTTGATATTTTGGGAGAATGAACATTTGGATGTGTTGATTGGCAACCATAGATATCTACATTTTGTAAATACCTGGGGCTACAGTATTTAATTGCTTTTTTTTGGTTTATCAATTTTCTTACAGTTTATTTTATTGGATTGTGTGTGATGAAATGTATTTGTTATTTTTTGGAATGGAAATCTATTTGCAATGATGTGTAATTACTGAGAAGACACATTTTTACAGCATGGGCTTATGTTAGTCCATTTTCTGATTTTAAATCAATTTTACCAACAACGATACAAACTGGTTGCAAAATGACTTGAAATATGTGCCACAAAATGTTTTGACTCAGTTAAAAATATGATTCTCAGGTTTGTTGTATGTGTTTAATAGCTTAGTACACAACATTACATTTTTATTTATATGTTTATTTAAAGGCTCTTGCTGTTTTTCTGTCCTCTTGTCATCGATGATTTACGTCAATCAGGTAGAAAGGTAAATCATTTGGATTGATAATGATGCAGCTATGCAGAACATATACATTTTTGTGCATATTTTGCATGTTGGATTGAATTCATAAAGCAATCCCAGTCATATTTGCCGACATATGTAATGCCTTAAATATTGAAGACCTTTTAAACTGGACCATGTGTTTAATTTATCAGCGAAAGAAGCAATGTTTCATGTTACAGTGATTTGTTCAGAGGGATTATCAAGCCAAATTCTGTTTTTGTATACTGTGAATACTGATCCTGTGACATCAATGATAGTGTTGTTTTCTTTGACAAGCTTTTCATATGATTTTTGATGCAAAAAACGTAAATAAACATTTTCAAACTTGTATTTTTATTCTCAAATGAACTTTGTGTATAGTCTAACATATTCTGTATGCTATATAGTGTATAATGGCAATACAACCATGCACACGCCGAGTACAGTTCACCCATCCATGTTCTGTAATTTACCAGTTTATGGTAGGGCTTGCGTGGGAGTGTTGTAAAAGAGCTCCCCCAAGTGTTGAGGCATAAAGATACATCTAGGTGCTAAAACTAAATTGTTGTTATGATGTTTTAGTTTGTTTGAACATTTAACACTGATCCTGTCCAAGATGATTGTACTTTTGTTAAAAATGACACTATCATATATTTAGTCTGCTTACTCACACAGTAGGTTTACACAACATATTATTTTTAAGTGAACTGATCAGGATGGTTAACGTGCGTTGGCCAGAAGAACAAATCATTATCATTTAAACAACCAATCATTATCATAAATATCACCATCGTCATCATCATTATTTAGCCAGAATGTTGTGATGATGATGATCATCACAACATGATGATGTGATAACGTCCCAAAATAGAAAGAGCAGCACCACCGATAGGGGGCAGCACTTGTAAACAACATGAACTAACCGGAACATGCGAGAAGAAAAGTCCGTGTTGCATTTTTATTGGTTCTTTGTTAAAAAAAACCAAAAAAAAAAACCGACGCGACTCCAGCCAATCAGAAAACACAACGCAGATACGTTGCTGGGTAGATAAAAGAAAAACAACAAGACTCGAGTCAGAGTTTGAAGCTTGGACGCGACCGACGGTCAGTGATTTTATTTATTGTGAGTTATTTAATCGACACAAAAGAGTTAGACACGCACTTTTTATACGTCGGTGTTGTTTGGGATTTAACGGTGTTATCGATGCACGCGGAGCAGTTAGATATTAATGTTATCTTTTCACGACTCGTGACGTCGTCAACAACAGATACATGGCGAGTCAGCGATATATGACAACGGTCAATAAACTGCAAACCGCAGATTTAGACGGTGTGTCTGAGTAGTTGTCGGTTTATATGTGCATTTAGATAATCTGGAGTTTGGTGTTGTGACGCAGCTCTTCATTTTGACAGTTAGCATTGAAGCTAACGCAACGCTAGCCATTGTTTATCAACAGAGTGACTTTGAATGAATGGGGGGAGGGGAGGCTGCAGCATCATGTCCGGGCATGTTATGAACTCTTGTCTGCATATAAAACGTCTGTTTCCTCTTTGCAGGTATCATTTGACATAATTTTTTTTTTTTTTGCACACTGCTGCAAAATCACTTTTCTTTTGTAAAACATGGCAACTGACTGCGCAGCCTGGTTGAACGCAAACCCCGTCGGTAAGTGTGTCAACCGTTTAAATGCCTCATTCGCCGAGTCTGATGTGTGCGGATGTGGTTGATTGCATATTTTCTTGTACTGCTTGCAGGTTTTGTGATGTTGAATATGGCACTGGTATCATTCTGCCATACCTCCTACTATGTTGTGGTTGTCTTTAGTATGTAAGCCAGTCTGATATAAAACATCCTGCGTTTATTGTATTTGCACATGGGCCCCTGCTGCAATATAGATAACAAAGAAAAATGTATGTAGCAGCTCTAGTCTCCTTGATCTGTTCTGCACATAAAAGCTACTTTACTCACAGTTTGACACTCTTCCCCCAATTTTGTCTTGAAATCCAACAGAGGCAGAGGACCTGAGTGACTCCTTGGTATCTGAAGAGGAAGACGATACAAGATCGGTTTTCAACAAAAACATAAAAAATGAGATCAATGGCACCTGGTTGTCCTTGTCTAGCAACAGCATCCATGAAGCACGTCTCAAGGCAAAGGCCAAGCGGAGGCTGAGAAAGAACTCGTCCAGGGACTCTGGCCGGGGGGACTCGCTCAGCGACACCGGGGACGCGGTCAGGGGAACCTCGGTGGCACCCGCCAGCCCGAAGAGCAAGCTGCTGGACAGGAAGTCCCGCCTGGGCAAGGGAAGAGGTCTACCAAAGAAGGGTAAGAAGATTTCACATAATAATAATGTTGTCATGTAACAATGGAACACTACAGAGATCAAATGTCTCCGTTTCCCTAATGTTAAATGGATAACCTTTGGCTGGTCGTCACCGGTCATGTTTCAGTGGCCTTCATCATCATGTGACCTACTTGTCGTCACCGGGCGGCCCTCCCGTCTAGCAGCCGTAATCCACTTAGCATGTACACAAATGGCGAGGTGATTCTGAGCAGGTCACTCCCATCTAAACGCATGCTGTTCTTTTCTCACCATATGCTCAGCCAAGCTTTTCTGGACATTTCCATGAGACGTTAAACAATGATCTGTGTTTTTAGTGAACCAGAAGCTCTTCGATAGTGATAATCTTTCAATGAGTTGGATGTGATGTGAAGGTTTCATCGTTTGGCCTGTGCCTACAAAAACAGCTGGCTGTGGTTTTAAGGACAATTGAGTGTAAATTGACTTTATTATTAAGGAGCATTTGTTTGTCCTGTGTATGAGGTTTGTTATCTGTTTTAGAGTCACTGAAATGGCTAGAGATATATATTTTCTTTTTGTTGGTGACCCTTCTTATAACAGCATTAGGCATTCAGCTGATGTTGCATAATGGATTTCTTTCTTTGTCCAATTTATACATCAAACCAAATGCCTTCTCCTTGCACGTCACCGTAATTCAAAATGAACACTGACACCTCACACATGTATAAGTAGATCAGAATTTAGCACGTGTCAACATGACTCTGTCCAGCTGTCACTCACTATGGGTCCTTATTCAGAAATGCAAGTATGCAATGCCTACTTGTATGTCCTATTAGACTGCTGTACACTTCAGTCACTTCGCTCCCATGGGCGGTTGAACTGGAGCAAGTAGAGCTTTTCTTGGCACAATGTCTGTTTTTTTGGTTGCATAACAGAACTGTCGCACCAGTGGAGCTCTGTTATTTGAGCTGTGAGCTCTCCTGCATTAAACGTCCATGTATTGCAGTATTTGCAATACAAATACAGTGGATGTGCAGAATCTGTGTCTTGCGTAAACTAGCGTCCACCATGTTTTAGATGCTGACGTTGTGCACAAGCAGTGTGGGGCTGTGCTAAATATAGTGGCATGTGCTATATGCCACATATTCTTTAGGGCTAATGGAGGTTTCAAAGCATGTCACGCAAGCTGCTTGGTATCGGGCTTCTTAAGCTGTCTTCAACGTGTTAGTGCTTACCTCAGACCCAGCAGATGTTTGTTTGTGTAACACTTACAAAGACGTCCCCACCCCAGATAGAGGGATTATATCGCAGCACAAAACTGTAGCATGGGTATTAGTACAGATTACGCATACAGATTATGATCCATATTATTATAACTGTGGTTTTACTTGTTTTGACCACGGAACAAGACCTTTACGAAGTCTAACTCGTGCTATAAACCATAGCTGAGAGATGTGCTGTGAGAGATCAGGAAGTCTGAAAGAGAGTTGTGGAAAGTTTTTGTTTTTGGGTACAGAGATCATACAATAATGTTTAAAATATATTGTGTGGTTCTGATTAAACCGCTGAGTTTAATACCTACTGGTTGACCGCTTGTCAAAATGCATCTCATTTTTCTTGACTGTTTCCTTCTTGACATTAGAGCTGTACCTACACATGAAAACGAATACGAGAGACTTAACATTAAGGCCTATAATGAAAGTCAGGCTCTTAATGAGCGCGTTCTAAAGACTTATCTTCAAACCTCAAGTGTTTACGTTTGTTAGATTAAATCTTACGAGCAATTTAGGGTCAAACACACACACTTGTATGGTGCTACTTTTAAGATGTTTCCCTGCTGTCGACCATTTCACAGTTATAAACGTTCCGATTGTGTCCCGGTTTATTTCCTGTTGCAGTGTACGTGTATGTAAATGGCATCAGCTGACAGGAAGTAAACAGGGACCCAGTAGCTGTTGCTTTTACAATGCCATTCTGTTGAAACGGCCCAGGGATCAGCATGGCCTTTCTGTTTCGGTGTCTCAATATTTTGCGACATGACACCATGCTCTGTAACCTGTAACCACCTCCTAATGGTTTCACTTTGAAAAGGCGTCAACGTTGTTTTTCAGGAGTTATATTTCAGGGATATCGTCTTCAGAGAGCCTGGCGCTCCCAACAGCTGCAACTTAACTTTCTTTCCATGAATGAATTGGGAACTATTAGATAAAAGAAAATCAATAACACTCATGTTTCACATTAACCAGATATGTGTGCCTCTAAATCTTCTGAAAAAGACACTGCTCGTGGACTTTTACACCACGTTACCTTTTTAAAATAGACGATTGTGATATAGTCAGACGTCTAACATCGTCACTGACCTTTGTTTGCAGGTGGGGCTGGAGGAAAAGGTGTGTGGGGCCGATCTGGTGAAGTTTATGAACAGGAGGCGGTAGATCAGAAAGACCCCAACTATGACGGCGCTCAGGTACCGACTGTGGTGTCGATATTGTACGTCTTCATTACGCATGTAGTGTTTGGATCAGCGTGATCACTTGTAGAATCTAATGCAATCCAATACACTGCCCTGCAATTTAAAGACAATATGTAGAGCTTGCTGTTTTGTAGGTTTAGTTTGTGTGTTGCTGTTCTAACTTGCATCATATTGTATGTTTATTTTGTAAATGATTTGACTATACAGTGGATAAAATAACAAATGTGGGATTCATCTGTGTCGTCATGTTAATGTCTGATAAAATTGCCGTCATGTATTGAAGCTCCTCCTTATTTCATCTCTCAAACACTAGGAAAACTGTGTGTATGAGACTATGGTTCCTCCGCTGGATGAGAGGGACTTTGAGAATACAGTCACCCCCATAGTGCAAGAGTACTTTGAACATGGAGACGTAAATGAAGTAGCGGTAAGTGTGCAGGAAACAAACCCGTCAGTAAACACGTTCTCATGCTTAGCAGAAGAAATAACATGAACAGAACCATCAAGCACGTGGCTAGTTAACGCCCGTCTCTTCATCCAGGAGCTGCTTGCAGAACTGAACCTGGGACCCATGCGGAGCGAGGTTCCCTCGCTGGCTGTGTCACTGGCCCTGGAGGCCAAAGCCAGCCACCGGGAGCTCACCTCCAGGCTGCTGGCTGACCTGTGTGGGCCGGTGCTGTCCCGCAGCGACATGGAAAGCTCCTTTGACAAACTGCTCCTAGAGCTGCCCAATCTCATCCTGGATACACCCGGAGCCCCGCAGGTGAGTCCCCCCCCCGAGGGTCTGGAGATACGTGTGTGTGTGTGTGTGTGTGTGTGTGTGTGTGTGTGTGTACACACCCAAGCTCAATTTTGCAACTTATTCTATGCGCTTGTGTTAAATTTCCTTAAATTGTTGTCAATTCAGGATGGGTATTAACTGAGAAATCCAAACTGAAAGAACTGATATTGACTTAGTTGACAAATGTCCAACAATCTAACATTCCACCATGTTACCAGGACATTTTAACAAACTGATGTCCGTCCCATTACAGTAAACACGAGACTCGTCACAATGCTGCCCTGAAAGTATGCCTCTGTTTGAGACGTCGTGTTTTCTGCACAGTCTGTGGTGGAGCGGAGGGGAACAACACTGTGGGTT